TCTTGCCCTTCATCCTTTACTGCTTGGCTGTACTTCCTTTTTACAGGAAACATATGGAGGCGATCAAGGGTTTGTTGCAAGCATTGGGTACATAAAGAAGCCTGTTACCAGTGTCCGTGTCATGTGGGGGGGGGCTGGGATTGCCATACCTGGCAAGTCATCGCCATGTCTCAAGGTTGGCTTTCCTATGCCAAGTTTTGATAGAGGACTCAATTTTGGCACCAAGAGTTAGGGACGCCTTCCCTAGCCTTACTATTACTCCCCTCATATCTTGGGGTAAGTGCCGTCACAGTTGTGGAACATTGTCGAGTTTCTTCAGTGAGTGTCACGTGGCCTTGATGGTCCAGTGACCTTTCTCAGCATCGGAAACTATTGTATCATGAATTAGTGGAGAGAGTCGCAAAGGATCCTGTGTGTGGCTGGCTTGGCTTGTCGGCATCAGAGTTGCACTCCTCTTGGTCTTGGGCACCAGTGGCAGATTATCTCAGCAACTCTGAGTTTTTGCTTAGCTGGCGATTGATTTGGAACGTGCTACCTCTCCATGACATACTCTTCAGATGGGGCAAGGCAGATTTGCCAGATTGTCATCGGTGTGACCTTGGTTTAGAGGAAACGGTGTCACATGCCTTCTACCACTGTCCTCAGGTGCGCCCTTTCTGGAATTATATTGGCGAGTTGACAGCTCATATCACTCCCGATCAGCTTGTGTCCATTGATCTCGCGTACATGTGTGACAATGTATCGCCCCCCCCCCATTCTCCAGGGTAAAATGGATGGCTAGAATGGTCATGTGGATGTCATGAAAGGAGGGAATCTTGTGAAATGAATGTTATTCGTATCAGGATCTGATTGTTTTCTTTAAGCATCAACTTAAGGTGAGAATCAGATCTGATTGAAAGCATTTGATTTCGACAGATTTCAGTGAAAGGTGGGTGACTGAGGCGAGCCTGGTTCATGAGGACGAGGCTAGCCTTGATTTTCTTTGTTAAGTCCCCTTAACACAACAATTAAGTTAGACACTATTTTGTGTTCCTAGTTAATTGGAATATGTGTTGTTCCCGGATTTTTCTTCTGTTATGATACATGTTGAGATTCCCAATCTCCCCAGTTTGTTTTGGTCCCCTTTTTTCATCTCAGCTGAGTCAGCCTTTGATTTTCCCATTCCGTCATTTATTTTTTCCCTCCCCATTCCATTAGTGAGTGTGCTTCTTGATTCTATTTATTGATAGAATACAACAGCCACTCTTATTATTTTGAGGAGTGGACGGTTCCTACTAACATTGCTTTGATTTTGTTTCATCTTTGGTTGACATTTTTGAATTTCTTGTCTGGGTTCATCTCTCCTTCCCCATCATTTCATGTTTCATGGGAATTTTAATTATATATATATATATATATATATATATATATATGAACATTACAAATTTTTAGACCATGGGGTGTTTTTGTAGGACCCTTGTGAATATGTGGTATTGTGGTGCGTGCAGGATTGAATGGTGATGGATGAGTTTTTGTGGTGAATGTGTAATTGTAATGAATGAATGGGTCATGATTGTGGTTAACTAGGAATAGGATAGCTAGTGAAAGACCTGCCTTTCCCCACTTCCCCTTCGGCCTTGTGCCAAAATTTTGTAAATTTTACAAAATAAATATAAAATACCTTGTTGATGTGACGGCGTATGTGTGTACTAACAAGAGAATAAAGAAGAGATCAATAGCGACAGCTCAGTTGGAGAACTGGGAAGAAAGCAAGCACTTTAATCCATTTCAGTCAGTAGAAACGACGGGCGAACTGAATTACCCACACGTTGTAGAGATGTGAGATGGACCTTCTCAATCGAATGTTAATATACTTTGAAGTTCAAAGTTTGAACTTTAACTAGCTTGTTAAGTTGTGATGATCTACATCACATACATACATACTTACACAAATACAAATCATACAACGACAAGCATTCATTGGATAATAAATCAACACTACTTTGTAATAGACAATTTACAAATCACAGCAATGCGACAATTTTGTAATCGCTCTATTTTCATGTAGTCAATTTTGTGCACTTTTGGGAGAAACAGATCCCAGAAGCTTTCTTGAGTCTCCCCAAAACTTGCTCACTGATTGGTCAATGCCAACCAATGCCAGCATGTGAAGAACAATTCTTCCCGCACGACGATTCAGAGCCGATGATCACCTATATAAGCAAGAAATATTCTTAGATAATTAGTGAGATTTCAGCTGCCAAACAAATCCACAACAGTTGAAACCATGCGCCAATATTCTCACTCACACCACCACTCACATGCTGAACATTCCTTACATTGCCATAATCTTTTCCTTACACAGCAAAAGTGCTGAAAACGTTTATTACCAGAAACTATCACAAACTTTCTTTCAGTGAGCTTTGGAATACAAAATAATAAAGAGAGACAACTCTTGTTTTACTCAATGCATGCCTTCTTTCACATCCTTGCTTGTACATATTTTATGTGTAATGACGTCTTTGGCTTATCCTTTTTTCACCTCAGTTTGGGAAAGTAATTTAATTACTTTAGTAAATATTTGATTAAAAAATAACCTTTATTTCTTGAGGAACATGCTAATTTTTTAGAAAATCTAAGTTCTCTAAAGTGGTAGCGATAGGTTGTGCGATTCTATGCATAAATGCAAAAAAAAAAAAAAAAAAACGAAACAAAAAAACTGAACTCTATCTTTGTATCCATAATGTCCAGTTTAAAACAATGTACAGGGTAGTCCGAAAGTCTTTTCAGTTTTCATGGTTCACCCCTACATAAAATAAAATGTTTCTATTTCAGATGGCTGATACGAAAATGAGTGTATTTACAGACCTTCCGATATGTGACAGTGTCAGTGAATAAAATAAAAAAAAAAAAAAACTGAATCCATGTCCTTTGTATTTACTGCATTATTGTTCTCGTGTTGTTTTGTTTTCATTACTTTTTGGTACAGGGTGACAAGACTTTCGGACAACCTTGTATATGCTAACTTAAAGGCTAAAGCAAATGTGTAATAAGAAACGGTTACAAGGGGAATGTAGTGACATGCGCTGACACAAGGTAAAATTATTAACCTTTCGTTAGACTTGGTAGCAAGCATTGAATATCGAGTTCTTGTTAACATTAAGGAAAAAAGAAAAGGGACTTTCATTCGTTTTTTTTTATTCTATGCGAGATGATTGTAATGTAAACTAATAAAATTATTTATTTTAAGAGTTTACTTACGTTTTTCTTTGTTTTTTAAAATTATTCTTCATCCAGTTAATTTAATTCTAACAAATTCTGGACATGACATTCACAATATTCCTTTTTGTTTTTGATTGCTTTTAAAAATGAATAAAAAAAATTATTTTATCAAATTATTTTGTTTTGGTAATTTGCAGTTTATGTCCCGCGATTCTAATAAAAAGTTCCAATAGTTACATAAGTCAAAGTGTACATGCTTAATTCAAAAATAACAAATAAATTTTGCTAAAAAAGCTACCGTTTTGGAGTTATCGACAATAAAAGCTTTTCGTAATATATTACAAATCAAGTTCCTTGTGCATAGAAAAAAAAAACATTTTTTTAAATTTGTTTTAGGTATCTGTACTTTATGGTCAAATGAAGTTAAAGACACGTAAAGTACCAAAACATGTTATTGCTTAAAAAAGTTTTTTGAAGAAATGTTCTTAATAATAAAAAACAAACAAAGAAATAAAACAGAACAGAAATATATACCAATCTTTTAGAAAGAACTTTTAAATTAAATGTAAAAAGAATTTGAGTAAAAACGTAAAAAAAAGGATGCTTAAGACACAAAAATGATACCTCTAAATCAATCCAAACAATCCTTTCAGATGATTCGCTCATGCTTTCTTAAAATAAATAGACTGGTCGACTCGTTTAAAAAAAAAGGGAGGGAAACTTTTTTCAGCGAGATTTGCAGATTAGCATTCTTTAGGCAGAAACAGTTATCAGAATCGAAGTACGTAAAATTGTATATCGTTTGTTTTTCCTCTCTAAAAGAATCGTTTTTTCAAAACAAAATAAAATAAAATTTATTATCAGTGTTTTCATTCGCATATATAAATGACGTAACCATTTCTAAATAAAACAAGTGCAGGTAACTCGAGATGGCTAATTTGCAGTGTAGGACCCGCACTCATTTACTATTAAAAATTTCCCAAGTTGTTACATTTACGTGTAAATGTACATGCTTAATTCGAAAATAACGACGAAAATTTTTAAAATCTACCGTTTTGGACTTAACGACACTAAAAGTTCGGACTCATTCGCGTCGTTAGCGGCTACGGCACGACAGCCATTACTGGCGTTGTTTAGCATACATTCGCTGCTGAATAGACATGTACGGAAGATTACCTAGTTAACGACCTTTTTACTGATCTTACTTGTCTCAATTACTTAGCAGTTAGGAACTTATTGCGTGCGTAATAATCAAGACAAGCGAATGTCTATCCCGCAGCAAATGTATGCAAACAACGCCAGTAATGGCTGCCGCAACACGAATGATTTCGAACTTTTACTGTTGATAAGTCCAAATTGATAGATTTTATTAAATTATAGTCCTTGTTTTCGAATTAATCATGTATATTTACACGTAAATGTATTAATTTAAGAATTTTTTAATAGAAAGTGAGCGCGGGTCCTATACTGCAAATTAACCAGTGGGCAAGTCTACGAATTTTAATTAACTAGTGCCCGATCGCCTTGTATCAACAACCGAATTGAAGAAAGATTTCTGCTTTTTTTTTTTTTTCGGAACTGCTTTTGCTAAAAAAAAAAAAAAATAATAATAAACAACTAGGTCTTTAAAGTACGTATGTCACAAACAAAAGGGAAAAAAATTGAAATGACTCGTCTTTTCATTATAAAATTTTGTTACTTATTCAACCTTTATTTGTTTTCTAAATAAATAAATAAATGAATGCAAGCAGACGTTTAGTGCGTGTCTACTTTTCGGTAATTGTTTAGTGGGCACCAACATGGATGACAAGCAACGCCGGTATGAAAAGATTGAATTCTTAGGAGAAGGACAGGTAGGTCTGTTTTAACTTTTATCGTTTGTAGATAGTTGAACAAAATTTAGAAATTTTGTTAGACTAATTTGCTTTGTAGAGGCGAAATGGGATCTGTTTTAAAACAAGATCAGTTTAAATTTGAACATCAGCAACAACCGTGTTTAGTTTATTACTGTTTTGTTTTTAGTGTTTCATTTTATTTTCGTTAAGTAAAATCTTCTGCATTTCGACTGTTTTCGAAATTAAAAACAAACTGTGTTTGAATGGATAAAAATATGGTGATTTTTTTTCCCTTAAAAACTGTGTTCTCAATAAATACAACTATAAGAAAATAAAGTATGAGTCTCAACAGCAACACCATTTTATTTTTATTTGAATGAACTTTTTGTGGAACCAATCTGATGAAGACTAGGATTCATTAATGATTGAAACTCCCACAACACAATCAGAAAAATCGTCTTTATTCAGAAGGTAGTTTTTCTTTTTCAAAAATGTTAATAATTTAAATCCAGTTTAAATAGGAATAGATGAGATTAGAGGTTGACGATAAAAGTTTAAGTAGAATCATGATAATTTTATTTAGTATTTAAAAAAAAAAAATAGAAAAGAAAAAGATGACACTGAGCATTAAACAAAAAGAGTGGTTACTAAATTAAATTCCAACGTTCGAGCACTGAGATTCTGAATCACTGACGGCAATGTTTGACCACGAAAATATATTTTATTTTTTCGTCAACATTAAAAACAGTCGGAATATGTCCAGTGATCAGGAAGTTAAAAACTAAAATAAAAACATAGTGATCGAATATTGAGATCTGAAATATTCATTATTCGTCTAAAAAAAAAAAATTTAATTTAAATGTGGATTTTTGTAAAAAGTCTGTGGCAGTATATTAATGACAATTTCACTTGACAAAAAAAAAAAAAAAAGGATTACAGGTCGATAAATGATTGGATCGTTTTATCTTCTTATTTTAAAAAATGTGCATAAAAACGTATAGATAGCTAGCATTATTTTTCAACTATCAAAGTTTTCTCTGAACTGTCATTATTGAACCATCCAATTTATTTATAACAATAACATGAATCGGTTGTTGGTGTCCCAATAGTAAAAATTAGATTTTCTTTTTTTAAAAAATAAAAATTCTTCAAATTCTTCAAGTTTTTTTTCTCGTCTTGAAAATTTTCTCGTAATTAGTTTTTCAAGAATCCAAGTTAGCTGTTTGAGGTTTCCTATAGCCCCACTGAACTTAAAGTCAATTCAAGTTTGCTATGGTAAAAATTTTCTTTCCCAAGTGAAAATCATCACAAAAATGGCAAAAGTCATTTTGTCACAGCTTATTTTCTCTCAAAAAATGTTTTTTTTTATACTTTTAGGGGTAAAATATTGAAAAATGACTGTTTTATCATTACCTAAACAAATATCAAGGAAACTTTTGATCTGAACCCCATGAAATTAGGTATTTTCTGAAAGCAAAGGATATATTCTTTCATTTAAAAGTAAAATTGCCTGGTGTAAATGACTCAAATTTTTTTTCAGTGGGTAAAATGTGAAAAAAATAGTGAAAATTTTGCATTTTTTTCTTGTTCTAAACAAATATTTTCCCCATTAATGGGAAATTAACCTTTTTTTTTCTTTGAAAATCAGAAAACCTAAATCATAATCAAACTATTTCAGGCATAAAATTGAGTTTTGAAGGAAATCAACATTCCTAGGGGGTCAAAATGCGACAAAATCCATTGGTAATTTTCAGTTATATGACTGCCAAGGGTTAAAAAAAAATTGAAACCCGGCCACGGAAATCTTTAGTAAAAGGCAAAAGATTTATCTGCATTTCCTAACCACTAGAAACCAAAAGTTTTTTTTTCCAAAAAATAGCAGTGATAAGGAAAATTAAACCTAATTGACTTTGACATCTGGGTCAAAGGTCAGCCAGCAAGCAATAAAACTTAGAACAAGTTGTAATAAAACCCACCACTCCCAGATAAAAGGAAAGAGTGAAAAAAAAAAAAAAGGGTCAACATTACTAGGGCTTGATATAACTTATGTTTGAACACTGGCTTGATGAGTTTTGTTTTGTTTTTAACACCCCGTGACCCAGGTGATGACAACACTTAGCAGGCAACATTGTTTTTTTTCGCCGCATATCTTTCATATTTCCCATTGCCGGGCCATTTAGCCGTTCCTTTAATTCAATGATGTTCATGCCAAATGAAAGAGAAAGGAATGAATTTTGAAGCGAAAATAAATATTTTATAAAAAAACAGTGTTTTTTCTCAGAAAATTGGGCATAATTTCTTAATGCTAACCGCCGAGTGACATTTTCCACAGCCAAATCGAAGATTAATTACCAGTGAATAATTCCATGTGCAAACAATAGCCGTCTGGATCCTATAACGTCACCCTAAAAGGTCCAGAAGTTTACTGATTGATCAAAAACCTGTTGCGCATAATTGTATTTTTCACGGTCAGTTTCCATTATTTCATCTTGATATTATCATTTTCGGACAGCCAAGTCATCAAGGATTCAGGAAAACAGTTTGGCATAGGTTTGCTTTAAGAACTTTACATTCTATGAGGTGTTTAAAATGTTACTGATGAATGAGATTTTTTGCCAAATATTTCGTTTACGCACCATGTTGGATTTTCCTATATGACAAAGACAAGGCTTTTAAACAGCCATGCCTTTTGTTTTGACTGAGTTTTCATTAGAACTGTAGAATTAGATTTCTCCATCCTCTGTTAAACCTGTTAAAAGAGGATCACAGCTAAGTATTCTCAATTTGTGCTGAACCCATTAAAATCATCTCCAGAGTTCAGTACGAAACAATGCTTTCCAATGTTTAGATGCATTTAAACTGATCAAATTTTATTTCGGAGAACAATAAAATTAAATTTTGTTTGATTAAAACCCTGCTAACATGGAAGTACCCAAGAATCATTTGAGGCACATAATGCTTTATGAGTTCAAGAAAGGAAACTCAGCAGCCAGAAACATTCACTCAGTTTATGGAGAGAGATGTGTGAATGAAAGAACTTGCAGAAGATGGTGTGCAAAATTCAGAGGTGGAGAGTTCACCCTTGAAGATGAAGATCAAACTGGACGTCCAGTTGAGTTTGATGAAAAGCTTCTTGAAGCAGCCCTTGAAGAAAATCCTGCTTTATCAGTTGAGGAATTGGCAGTGGATCTCAGTTCAAACCATACAACTGTTCATAGTCATCTTCAACAACTTGGAAAAGTTCCTAAACTTGGAAAATGGGTGCCTCATGAATTGTCTGAAAACAACCTCAAATCCCAAGTTGACATCTGCTCTTCTCTCCATTCTCGCCAACTTGTTTCACCCTTTTTTGGATAGACTTGTGACTGGCAACGAAAAATGGATCTTTTATCGAAATGTTAAGCGTCAGTCAGAGACAGTGGCTTAGTAAAGTTCCCTTCTCGGCTGTGACCCCAGCCACAGCAAAGAAGGGAACTTCAAAAAAAAAAGGTTCTTCTTTCAATCTGGTGGGATCACCAAGGAATAATCCACTTTAAATTCTTTCCATCTAATGCAACAATTAATGCTCAAATATACTGTCAGCAATTAGAGCATTTGAACCAAGCTTTGAGGGGGAAAAGACCTGTTCTAGTGAATCGAAAAGAGGTGATGTTTCATCAGGACAATGCGCGACCACACACAGCAAGAATCACGTCACAAAAGATCGAAGAACTTGGTTGGGAGAAAATTCCTCATCCACCTTATTCTCCCGATCTTGCTCCTTCAGACTACCATTTGTTTCGTAGATTACAGAATTATTTGGAAGAAAACAGCTTTTGTAACACAGGAAGAGTTTAAAACTGACATTTGTGAGTTCTTCAAATCAAAGCCAAAAGAATTTTACAGTAATGGAATTAGTAAGCTAATATATAGATGGAAGGAAGTCAAAGATAATCAGGGAAAATACATTGTTGATTGAATCTGTAACATTTGGTCACTTGTTTTCTTTATTCAAAATTCGGACAGAACTTATGGGATGACCTGATATATCGGTCAAAGCGAGACAACTCTACAGTAAGTCAAGCAATCTATTTCAGTCAATTTCATGAAATTTCTTTTGGAAAGCCTATGAACTAACTTATGATATTTAATAAAAATTAAAAGCTAAATTAATTTTTCATGAACTTGAAACACAACTTTAGTTTTTCAGGCACTCAAGAAGTGAACTTTGCTATTTCTTTGAAGTGTGTTAATAATGGGATGTCAGTTAATGCAACGTCGGTTGGGTTATGTGACAAAAAATCCTTCAGACAAAATCTCAAAAAAAAATATATGGAATTTTTTAATGATATTTTTTTATTAATATTTCTACTTTATTTATTCTCTAAAATGCAAAATATTACATGCTCTTTTAATCTGACTTTTAAACAAACTTTTTATTATTATTATATTAAGTTCATGAGGTCTTCGAAAAGCACTGTTTAATCCAATATATTTTTAAATTTTTTTATATATTTATTTTTATATTTTTTAAGTTTTTACAAGTGATATCATTTCCACAGCAGGCAAATCCAAGAATGAGGCTAGTCACAAACAAGAGAGCTTCCAGGAAGTAATGATTAATCCTTATCAAAAACCATGAATTAATCTAAATTAACCAATGCAACTTGATCATTGACTTCTAAAATCATTCTTACCATATGCAGATTATCTTTGATGTTCCTACCCTTTACATTACAAGTCTATTCAGAGCCTTTTAAACTATCCAGCATATTCTGCAATTGGTTTGTTAAATCTTTAACATTGTTAAGAGCTTAAAGTTAGTAATCTTGTCCCCACTATATTTGTTTTGTATAGTAACTTCACTACACTCTTGATGAAACTATGGGAAATATTCCTTTGCATCAGAATGGAGACAAACATGTGCAACAATTTCATGTAAAATTTGTAAAACAGGCTATTGATATTTGATATCTGTCCTGACCTAAAGGTGAGAAAAGTTAGTTAAATTGGTGTTGAACTGAGCAGTCTAATCACCC